TGCCGGGCCCGAGCCTCCCCCAGGTGCGCAGGGAATCGGGGCTCTGCTGCCAGCCCCAGTCTGGGGGGTGGGGGCTCCCGGCTCCGTCTTCGCTAGATGAGACTTGTTTTGCTCCACCTCCGTCCCTGCTGGAGAGCGCCCCTGGGCTGTAAGGGCCTTGGCCTCTTCCCGTTAGCCTGGGGCTCCGAGATTCCCTCCCTGTGGCCTCCGGACTCTGCATATTCAGCCTGAACCCCTGGAGGGGTGTCTGGGCCGGGGGGATCAAACCACCAGTTCCCAGGCCACCGGCAGCCCCGCCCCTCGGCCACTCATGTTGCAGGGGGGTCACTGCCAGGCAGGCTGAGGTCCCCCCAGGGCCCAGGGGGACCGTCCCCCCCAAGGGGCAGCATCACCCTTTTCAGTCCTGGCGGCCCCTGGTCCCCTGCGCCGTCTGCCTCGGGTGGCTTTCCCCCGAGGCCACACTGTCCGCATGCATGTTGCAGGGGGGTCACTGCCAGGCAGGCTGAGGTCCCCCCAGGGCCCAGGGGGACCGTCCCCCCCAAGGGGCAGCATCACCCTTTTCAGTCCTGGCGGCCCCTGGTCCCCTGCGCCGTCTGCCTCGGGTGGCTCGCCGTGCCTCGCCTCAGTGGAGCGCTGGGCGGGCGCCCTTGTCTGCCTCCGCTGGGGGTAACTCGGGCAGGCTGGCATCCTCCCTTGTCCCGGGTGAGGACTGTGACGTAGTGGGGGTACCTGGCTGGTTTCTATGCTGCTGGCTCTGGGGTAACCCCCACTGGCTGCCGTGGGTACCACGACCCAATGCTGCCCTGGCTGGGGGGCAGGGCTGGGAGAGGTAGAGTTAGTTCCTGGCTGGAAGGCAGGGGAGAAGGAGCTGGGGAGGGGGGCTGGGACTCCCCTATCTCAAGGGGGGGCAGTGAGGCCTCTGAGCCCAGTTCCTGTGACCAGATTCCATCTGTGCTGCGCTGTGCTGGAGGAGCAATAAACCCCCCTCCATTCTACTGGCTGGTGCAGTCTGTTTGTGCCATTTCGGGGTGCAGGAGACGGGGGACCTCCAACGCGCCATCACACTTACATAGC